AAAATTATGTTATTTATAGCCACACTAATTAACTAATGTAGTACAATAAATACTCTCTTCGAGAACGGATACAAAAACAGTAATTTTATTTCTGTGAACATCCCGTCTTCGTTGACAACATACTACACACAACAAACACATTTCTGTGTACGGGCAAACAGCTCGTACAACATATTTAAATTTAAACCTTACCTAAAATAGCACCACAGTTGCTGAACCTCGCCAGCACAGTATTAGCAGCATTTGGAGGGAATCCAAACACAGTCACCCAGTACTCATCATGTTCTTGACACCCATCCTGCCATGGTGTGGCTAACGACTGATTATTTACTGAATTGTTCATATTGCCATAGCCATTTTGGACCATAGAATTGTTGTTCCCATATAAACTGTCGTGAAATAGGGACTTGTTCATGGAAGGTTCGTTACTTTTGATGGTGTCAAAGAGGTCTTCGATGGGTGGTCCGTTAGGTTTGCTTGTGTAGGACAAGTTAGGCGTTGTGGGCATACTAGGGTAAATGTTTGGAGAGGTGGGAACATTGGGGTACATGTTCTGCTGGTTATACAGTGCCTGCTGGTGCATAGACATGTTCTGGCGGTAAGCTTTCTGGTCCGGAGTTGATGTTTGACTAGGACTTGTTGGTGAACCTGGAAATTACATGTTGTTTCTTTACTTTAGGGTCTTTTTTGTATTTTAAGCTAGATAAGAAACATTGGTGAGTGAATACAGTTCGAGCTTTTAACTTACAAGGTTTGTTAAGTCTTAAATATTGTAATAATGTACACATCTTAGTAACATTGTGAGTGATAATGACTGTGAAATATTTTTTTTTTCCTGGTACAACCTACAGAAGATTGCAATCGAGAGGAAAGTAAACATTAAGAAAAGAATTGTGGCAGCCTTCAGTAAACTTCTTGTAGAACAAAATAGGAGCTTTCCTCTAGATATAATGAAGCTCTACATAATTCCTGTTACATTAACTTACCGAAAGCTAAACTCCTGCCCTTCGTCGGGGACAGGCTGTTTGTACGAGGAGTCGTAGGAGGATTTATTTCACCCAAAAGGAAAGGCGGCAAATATGCAACGTTAGGGCTATTTGATGGAGAGTTAGTCGGACTACCCAAAGTCATTGGCTCCATTTTCAGTTAATATTTATGAACTACAAAATAATCTTATCACTTTGTTTAAAGAACAGCCGTTACTAATAATTAATATCACTTTTTTGAATAACCTATACGCTCTTCCGTTGGTTGACAATTGACAGAAAAAAACAAAATTAACACGAATTGACATACGATTTGACGTAATATAATTTTTCAAACTGTAAAGACCGGAAATAAACAATGAACAGATAACAGAGATCATTTTAGGGTTATTTTGAAAAGACATTCTCGGTTAGTTTTATGAATCATAGACAGCCAATGTTCTACATTTTTGACATAACGTCTGTCTGTGAGTGAATTAAACTAAAGTGAGTGAACTAGTCGAAAGACTGTCCGATCGAAGATAAATTGGAGCTATACAATTCGCTGTAATTGGCAACATTGATTGATATTTGTCAAAATAATTCAGTCAAACAAACGAACATGGATTCTTTGGCTGCAAAGCCCGAGAAGTTTAATGTGTGTAGTAGAAATGCATATGATAAAGTAATATCAAATACTCCCAGAAACATGTCAGCTAATAGTACTAATATTGTCCATAAGTTATTTAATAGAGAGGTAAGTTTTAAAACCATGATATCACTGAGTTCAAAAGCTTGATCCTGTGCTTATGCTTTATTTTTTTTTCTTTCGTTTATGTTTCGATTATATTTTATGTGTATGGCCGATAAAGCATGCTGCTAGTACACGAGATGTAACTTTTGTCTTTGATCTGTGATAATGCAATCGCTGATTATGATTTATTTACGATAAACATCTTTGGATTATAAATCTGTATTTACGCTATATTCCTCACTCTGTAATGTTCTCCACATTTTTATAAAGTTAGCATTGTTTCGAGCGTCCCTATGATAGAAAACGAATATTTTAAGAAATCATCCAGTTCATGAGTACGAATGTTATTAATGTAAAAGTACATTGGCTCTAAAATTCATAATGAATGATCTAGTTTTTGTTAAGAGTTGCCAGCCATTATGTACAAAATTGGTAATTATTACTCTTTCTAAATGTTTTTGATTGGAACAAGGCTAAACTGATCTACTATGGCTTTGAAGATCTGTGTTATTCTGGGAAGAAAAATACTTAAGCATCACCAGAATTATAGAATACAACATTAACTTGAATTTGTTTGGGCCTTAAAATTTTATTTATAGCAGCAGCAGCATGGAGTTACCAGTCTGAAATCATTGCATGAATTATTGATGTAATTATAACAGATGGACAAGCATAACACATACTCCAACTAGATCAAAGCAGGCTGAAAATAAATCTTTTAAATAGTTATTTTCTTAGTTTATGAAAAAACTTGTAAACTTCTGTTTAGGTATGAAATTATTAATGCAAAATAGTAATCAGCAATAGGTCAAAGAATTCATTATAATAATTTACCTTATCTACTATTATATTTACATAAAAAAGCCTAGCCATTATTATGTACAGGAAGTGGAGAACTATGTGTGGAATAACAAATCCCAGTGTGTAATATAATAACAAATTATATTCTGTTATTGTTTATAGTATCTACTATGGAGCCTTATCTCTACTATGAATATGGACATATTTTTAACAAAATTACATTGTTTTTATACTACAAATATATCTTAAAGCTTACAGTATGTATAACAAGAAACAGTTAGCGTCACCTACATTAACAATAATACTGTCTGTTTATTGGACTAATGTGTTAGCCTATATTATTCCAGACTCTTATCTATCTTTGTTGAACATTCGGTGCAGATCCATTCGGCAGTTTTTGCATTAAAGAACAACAAACATACATACATTCTCATAAACTTTCACATTTGTCATATTAGTAGGATTTTATCAGGTCAACGAGAGTTTAGTAATCAAAAGTGTTATCCAACTATATGATTTATCAGCTCGGAAATTAAGTACAAATTACTTTAACTTTAATTAAAGCAGTATAGTAAATTGCTACTAATTACTCTGCTGTCCATTAAAAGTGATGTATAATGGCTTGTGATAACATAGGATTAAACACTATGTGGTTGATATCAAAATAAATTAATGTCTAAGTTAGTAAAATATATCATTATGAATGTTTGAAATGAATGATAATGAACTTTAATAAAGGATGCATCTGTTAGAATACTTATTTGAAACAATCATTTTATTATGTAACATAATGTGCATCTATGACAGCATTTTTATTTTGTAGTAAAAACTAAATACAACATAAATAGAATGATTTTGAGTCTTTGAATTCCCAAGTCTCAATTATTCTTTTTATCTTCATTCTTCATCTTCTTCATTGTTATCTCTCTTGGTATATATCTTGTTCATTACTTACTTAACTATTTATTATTTTTTCCTAATAATTTCCTTTACCATTCTTATGTAGGTACCTAGTTCTGCCTGTGTGCAATAGAGATCTACAGTTGCTGGATCAATTGTAGATTTGTGTAACTGTAGATATTATTATGATATTCATAATGAAATCCTATAAAAATTGATTACATTTAGACAAGCATTTGAGAAATAATATGAAAAATTTTTCGAATTTATTTGTTCTTTTTTAATTTTGTAGACATTCGGCGGAACATCTAGGAAAACCAATGACAGGGGTCGCAGAGTGTTTGAGAAGATCCCGCCGAGACTGCGGTTCTGCCTGATGGACATAGTGCCCTTGTCCTACTTGACGGAGCATGTGTTCATGGGATTCTCCCAGTGCGGGCAGTTTCTTCTTAGCTTCACATACAGCTGTAACACACAGCTATACTTTAGAGAGAGTTCTAAGTTCACGTAAGTAATTCAATTAATAATTGGAAATATAGTATTATGAAAATTGTCAAATAAAACCTTTAGTGCGCACATATGTTTAGAAATATCTGTAGCCTCTTTATTGATTTGTCTATTAAAAAGCAATGTGTGTATGTATTGTTAAGCCTACATTTAAAAATAAATTTCGATTGTTCCACATATTCAAACAATAAGGCTGTGCGAACTATGCTTATAGAAAAATGACCTAACAGTTATTATTTAGTTATATCGACTTTTTCTATGCTAAAAAGCAATACCTACATTAAATAACCCTTCTTCTTTACAATTCTCTATTTATTTCTTATCATTCTACTCTTAGCAAGACATTTTGCAATTCTTTTTTATTTATCTGAGTATATAAACAGTTAAATAAATTAAAAATCAGCCTTGAAATACATAAACAAATGGAGCCAGATATGAAGCAATTAATTATCAGATTAGAAGCTATATGTCTCAGTACCTACAACAGTTAGTTTTTAATCTGATAACTTACAATATTTGTTAGGAAATTATGTTTGATTAGAGAAGAATGAAGTTTAAGCTCTGCTTACTATATAATTTGAGAAGTCTTTACTGCATTGCAGTAATTTTTTTCTTATATGGTAAGAAGTCCTATGTTCAGCCTATTTTCAGCTATTGACGTTTTGGTGGCTGTTATGATGATGATAAGAATGACAAATATTATTTTAATTCAGATTTAAGTCACTTGTATGTACATACTGTAGCTAAATTTTAAAAACCGTGAACTCCCAAAATATTGAACTGAAAACTTCTTGTTGTCCACTAATATAACCAGTGCCTTTATTTGCTTACTATTTAATTTAAAAAAAATATCTGTTTCCTAATACAACAGAAAAGTGACCTTATTATTATTGACAGACAGTATATAATCTCAAGTTTTCTTGCAGCTTACATTTTCTGGCATGGGTTCCTGGCACCATCGTGCAACCGGTGCACAGTGTTCCACTGTTCGGAGATGATTGTGTGGACAGCAAAGTGACCATATCCATGGCACAGTGGAAACACAATCCAGATGCCTTAGTTGTATATGGTATTGCGTAAGTATTACTATTATTTTATTCTTTTAATTAGCTTTCTCTAGCTTTACCCTTTTCCGCTTTGTCATAATAAATTATACACAATGTTAGTACAAGAAAAAGTACATGGAACGTCTTTCTACATACCCAAATCCACAAGTGCACCTATGGTATCTTCTTTGCCTGTCAAGAGATTAAAAAGAGCTGATGTGCTTCCTGCCTGAGGGGCGTCAGATGAAAGCCTGTAGTCAATCCAAACGTCAATTGGCCTTCAACTTATTTGCTCATAGTTTGGCGACTGATTGTACATTTAAAAATTAAAAAATCTTCCTCAGGGTCGCACTGTCCGTCTTTGAAAGCTGTATAAAAATCTGTTAGGTAGTTTTATAAGGCGTTTTATACGCCTAGCTTCAGCTTCTACTATCGTATCGGATTAATAAAGGAAAGGAGAGCGAATTTGTATTTTTTACATACATAACATCGCGCCTTTTATCCCCGAAGGGTAGGCAGAGGTGTACATTATGTCACTGTACAATGTAACACCCACTTTTC